AAATTCCTGCCGTGATTATCAGATGCTAGGATGACTTTACTGGTTGATTTTTGGCAATGAAAGAGCACGCCCCCATCCCATAGCACCCAATGACAAGATTCCATGAGGGCATCAAGGTCTTCAGACAAGAAATCAGAAATGTTTTATTTTTTAAATAAAATCAACAAATAATGGCCTGACTCTTATACTGCATAACATATGCGACAGGATTATCACTCAAGTCACACAATGCTGCTATGATCTAAATGCCTCAAGGATGCCAACTAGGTGAACAGTCCCAGTCCTGTCACCTCCTTTAACTTCCTTTCCGCCTAGATGTGACAAGCAAAATATTTTCAGTGTACTTATTTGCACTGCCCATGCTGTGTAAACTCGAGATGCAATTTTAGCACAGTGAGCTGTGACATTGCATACTCAAAAACACTCAGCCTCTTAAAAGTATTTCGGTATAACCCAGCTGCAACTTTGCTCTTGGATTACACTTAAAACATGGTAAACAAACACACAGCGTTAACAAAATAATTTATTATTTTAAAGAGAGTTAAAACACTGTTAACAAAAATGATTTCATCTCACCCAATGTCTACATGACGTATGCCAATAAAGGTTTGGAGATAGGAACAGAGAAGGGGAGGGGGTTTTGTGTGTGTGGTTTATTTCCTTAGGGTTTCAATGGAGGGGGAAAAGCATTAATGAGAAACTTTAAAAGCTTGTTAACAATATCCTTTCATCAATCAAAAGCGCTGTCAGTCTATGGTGCTCACGTCAATTTTCACCTTACCACACAGCTACCATTTCGGACTTCCTTATCCACTCTCCCACCCTAATATATATAAAGATCCTTGTCGGGCTAGACTTGAAGGTGATGGAGCCCAGACATTCTCCATCTGTCTGCCCTTGGTGCCAGTTCGTCCAGAAGACGTTGGACTACCGCCCTTAGTCACTTAAAGAGACATCGGTACCTGCAGTTTCTCCAGTCCTTGGCCTCCAGCTTTTAACTGCCACCTACACGTAACTTCACACAGACCAGAGGCTGGTCTGGATCAGCATTCAGCACAGAGCTCATTTTAAACCTTAATGTCTCCAAAGCTGATAAAGAATAAAATTGATGTTAACTTCAGCTTCTTAAATACCAACTTCTAAATCAAAAGGCCTTCTAATAGAGTGGGGCCCAGGTGGGGGTGTGGTGGAATATCATTAGAACACACACAATAGCTTACCAATTAAACACCCTATAATGCCTTTGTGCTAAAAAATGTTATCTCCTTATTTAAAAGAAGGAGGGAAAAAAAGAATAATAAGAAAGGAAATGTAGCAACAGAATGATCGGGAATGTTAATATCTAACAGGAACAAAATAAGCATGAGGGGTATCTTCCAGAGTTTTTTTTAAAAAAAGTATGTCAGAAGAATATAGGAACCTTGCTTTTCCCATGTGCTATATTAAACATATTTATTTATTACTCATACACTATGTATGCTGTTTGGAACTAAAATAGCACAGCCTTTTGACAAGCTATGAAGCTGCACGGCCAATTTGCACATCAATGTTACTGAAACATCCTGCCTACTTTAACAACAACTGAAAATATGCTCAGTAATGTTTTCCAGGTTTTAAAGCCAGTTATAGTAAAGCAAAAAAGCGAGGGTGTGTGTAGGAATAGATAGGAGACAAAGAGGACAGTTCAAGAGAAAGCATTTAAAATAAAATGCTATTACTTCTTTTAATACTACGAATATGGCAGGAATTACAATTACATCTTATGGCAATTCAAGGAACTTTATACTCTTGTAAGATTTTTTACAGTGCAATTACTCATGAAAATAGTACATAAATCATATGGGCCTCCCTTTGTATTTGCTATAGTTTTTAGCCAATCCCTTTTAACAGGTTTTCCTTACAGTAAGAAGTATAAGCAGAAGTCTGCAAACAGTATATTCAGTATAAGCAGGAGCCCTTTTCACAATACATATATTGAAAGTAAAAGTTAGATATACAGATTAAAAAGGAAAACGTGTCTGGCACTGTCTAAAACCTCCGATTAAGTCAGCATTCATCAAAATAGTGTGAAAAAGCGCTATGAAAAGTAATGATCCATGATATTTACTAGGAAACATAGCTTGAATTTCCTCATTGGTTTTTAGTATGCCTGTAACTTTTATCATATCAAAAGTGGTAATATCACCCACAGTGCTGAACTGCCCTATTCTTAACTAGGCAAATTGATAAAGTTATCATCAGGAAGAAATGAAAGAAGGTTCTTACAATCAGATATCCTTCCCTCGACCTGCACTCTCCTCCAAGAATTAACTAGAACCTTTATGGCTGAGTTTTTGTTTGGACCACTGGACTGACACCTCACACCAATTCCCAAACAGCTCCTTAACTTAAACAAGAAAAAGCAAACAAAACAGGGCATGATTTTAGTTTGAACAGTGAATGTGTCTGCTCAGCTGTGATTGGCGAAATGATTGAGGCACCTCATTTAGTACATTTAAATTCTGTTTTTCTTCCGTCATGTATCCCAGGCAGTTTCAGGCAGGCTCCCACTGAGATACTGACCACATTCAGAGTCTGCAAGGTGTCTGCATCCTATGTTTATGAACCTGACCCTCAAGACTGGTGATGAGTCCATGAATTCTGAGTTGTATACAGATCCTGAGATGTAAAGTCATGTTATTAGCACACAAAAACATTACTGCTAGCTTTTATCTTCCACACCAAGATGTAACATAGGGCAGAGTCAGAGACACATACTCTCTCTCTCTCTCTCACTCTCTCTCTCTCTCTCTCTCTCTCTCTCTCACACACACACACACACACACACACACACACACACAGAGTGATGAGTGAAACTAAGCACTTAGCCTCACAATATTAAAATTGTTATTATTTTGAGGCATAGGGACTCTATCCATGGCTAAAATATTCCTACTTGGTTTAGGTTTTGTGTTCATACACATTTTTATAGGAACAGAGAAGGGGAGGGGGGAAATGACCCATTGCAAAATTCAGTTTCTTCCATGGTCAAGGGCATCTATTTCATTATAAATGTAGTTCCAGCAAAACAAATATTATTTTTGAATCTTTCATTATCTTAGTCTCTGGAAATGGGCTAAAACAGCATGTGTTGGTATTAGATGCTGCCGAGCCAGCTGTCGTGCCTGGCTGCACAGTGTCTCAATGTCAGCAGTTCAAAGCACTGCTAGGCTGAATGGGAGGAAACTTGATAGGTCAGTGGAACCCTATTCCAAGTAAAAAGAACATAGCTCTCTTGTTTCCAGGGTTTTCTTTTATTCATTTTGGGTGTGTGTGAGAGTGTATGTGTGTGTGTGTGTGTGTGTGTGTGTGTGTGTGTGTGTGTGTATTATATATATCTATATAAAATACATATAAATGTCTGAATGTGTGTTTGAGAGTGAGCGCGTGTGCACACACATACACAATGTGTGTCCATGTGTGTATCTTTGGTGTGTGTGAATATCAATATCTATACTGTATTTATATCTATCTATAGTCTTTTAGACAGCGTCATCGAAGCAACCAACATGAATTTGACACAACTCCGGGAGGCAGTGGAAGACAGGAGGGCCTGGTGTGCTCTGGTCCATGGGGTCACGAAGAGTCAAACAGGACTTAACGACTAAACAACAAAAATAGTCTTTTAGGTTCATATTTGTGTTTTCATGAACTATGCCACAACCAAACTTAGAAATTTTACTTTCTTGGACTACAATTCCTGAACCTCCCTTCCCCGAGCTAGCCATGCTGACTGGGGATTCTGGGAAATCATAGGGAAAAAAAGGGGAGGGGGAAGAGAAGGGGAAAAAGTATAAGTGTACGGAATATTTCCAAGCTCTGACTACAGCCAACTAGGCTAGGACCAAGAAATTGTGGTTTCCTTCTTCAGACTCATATTTGGAGTCATGCAAGACAATGCCAGCTTGAACTGAGCCCCTGGTCCCACACTGAAGGATGAAAACCTCAGAGCATATACAAAACCTTATATATGGGACAGAAAGTCCTCAGAGATAGAGAACAGAAAACAGGCTTTATACTGGCTACACATAAAGGCAGACTGAATCAAATGATGGTTTTCTGTTTTGTTTTTGTGCCTGATCTTTTAAAAACAGTAAACCTATGCCATCATATAAAGCAGTATGCATTCAGATCACTGCATGACAAAGATCACAAAGGCGCCCGAAACACTGCTTTCCTGTGTGCTAAATCCTCAGTTGTGTTGTGCTGAGCATTTCGTTATGGTGAGGAGCAGTCACGCCAAATTAAGGATCCTACACACTTATTAAGACATCATACAAGGGCACAAGCTATTATCAGCACACAGAAAGAATGCTAAGATCACACATAAGCAGCATTGTGGATTCGTCTCTTTCTGTGAGAACCCCCTAGAGGTTCCACTATCACAGCCCTCTTCATTAGTGGTCACGCCAAGTTGTAGTTTGGGCATCATTAGCAATCTCTGAAATCGCTGGCAGAGGAAGGCCATTCTTCATCTGACTATGCAGCTATAGCACCTCTCACAATACATATAGGGATGAAGACTGTAGGCCTGTAATATTACTAGACAGCTAACTCCTGAGGCAGACAGTCTGAAGCACTGCAAATAAGGCAGCTCAGAGATTTCAGTTCGGCTGTTCATTTTCAAATTCATTCTTAAACAGCAGGGGAAAAAAGTAGTGAATGAGCATCTCCTAAATGCATTGTAAAACATATGAATCTAAATTCTTCTGAGCTATAGTGCCCTCTGTTGGAACACACACTGACAAAAGAATATGCAGCTTGGCCTACAACACAAAAACAAATAAGTAGAAATGCCAGCTTGTGAAAGCATGCCAGTCAGATAACAAATACATATAATCGTTCCAGATTTTCCCTTTCTATCTGGATTCTTTTGGCTCTTGCGTTATATAAAATAACTAACTTTTTCACTTCAAGTCAATGTAAAAATAGTTTTCTGATTCATGTTTCCAACGGGCCAGACAAAATTAAAGAAGAACATACTACTTCAATGATCCATGAGCACATATAATCAAAACAGACCACTCATATGAAATAAATGTTTTCATAGTATAACATTGTATTAGATAAGCTGTTAAACAGAGAAGTGACAAAATGAATACACAAATGGTGGCTGAAACCCTGACCTTCAGTTTTAAAATCACAAGGAACAACTGGGCTGAGGAAACACCTGACTTTGCTAAGAGGTCATCCATCTCTCAAATTTCTTTTATTTTTTTTACTCCGACTCACAATGCAGTCAAGGGAGTGAAAGCCTTAAGATTTTGCTGGGATCCCCATTCAGAGAAGTACAGTACTTTGAGGACATACTCACCTACCCAGTAGTAAAAGCCTCACACAAAAGTTTCCATCAAGCAAGTTTTTGAACTGAAACTCTCAGAGTGTAATACCATGGACACAATGATGAAGTCTGGACATGGCTGTTAATCTGGTTTCAAATGTGTTACAGTTTGGTTCTGTTATTCCCTGAACAGCTATATTTATACTTTCCAAGCACCCAGCATGTGGATGGAGTTAAACATATGGTAAGCAGCAACAGCAGTGAACAGTGGAATATTCTTAGCAGAAGAATGAATCATTTTCTGAGATGAGCCAATGTCTGTAGAAAGAAATATCTATAAATGAAATATTTGCAAAAAGAGGGAAGCTTAGAATAGGCATCTGATTTTCTTTGGTTAGCATTCACATATTATGAAAAAGCAGAACACACTCAAACTATACATATTATAAGACTATATTTTTATCTTGGGATTTTGCTGACATGTACAATCCACTTGAGCCTTGCTTTCATGGTTTATATTGCCACCAGAAACCCTTGATAAAATACAACCTTATATCGTATGGTAGTTTATTTTCTCTGTATATCATATACTGTATTTTTATTTATACATACAAGACAACTTGTACATGTACAACAAGGTTTAATGAAGTAATTCTAATATCAGAGTAACACTACATTGACAGGGTAACATAGCTCAATAATTTGTGTTAGCAGTGAGTTTTTCAAAACAACATCTACTAAAGTATGATCAAAACATAAAAATCAGTTTTCTAATATATGATTTATTATTCCCATACCGAAAAATTCCAGTTTCTGGTAATCTGTAATATTTGACTTTAATTCCGTTCTTTCTAAATAACCAGAAATTTTAGCTCCAACATCCTTTGGTTGATTTATTTTCTGGATAGTAAGTGTAATGTTTAGTTTTTAATTATTATAATCCAGACTATTATCTAATGTGTGTAAACATGAAAACTGAAAACAGTGAGTGCTAAGTAAGAGCTATAAGCACTGCTGACCACCACCATACCACAAAAAAATTAAAAACAAACAAACAACAAACAAAACAACCCCAAAAGGGGGGGAATTGGGCTTTTAAATTCTGGCAAAGGTATCTGCAACTGAATTGAATAATTTTATGAAAATATTTGTTTTGTCATCAAACTACTTTATCAGCATCTGTTTTTCTGCTCGCATCAAGCAATGCTAGTGGGGACAAAATATTATTCATATCTTCTAAGCCATCTACAACGATCTAAAAAGAAAAGCTGTGAACAGGCAATTCAATAGCGGTTTCCTTTTGAATGGATTTGCAGTGTGTTTCAATAACAACTGTTTACGTAAAACATCATTTCAACAGTTCAAACATCAAAGAAAACAGGAGAATCTTGGGCACCAAGCCTGGCAGAGGTACAAGCTTTTCAATCTGGACAAATACAAATCCAGGCAGGAACAGGGGGGAGGTGTGCGTGTGTGTGTTGAAGCTTATGCATTTCATTTTGCTCTCCGAATACACGCGAAGGCTGCAGATTCCCGGCTGTCCCCTCTGCGAGCCAGATGCTTCCTTAGAGGGGCAGTTGCATCTCACATTTGCCATGCCCCTCCCACTCCCTTATCCTTGCTTTAATGGACATTAAAAATAGAACAAAACAGCACTAGAGATAGGAACAAAATACATGCACAACAGGCACAGTCCGCTGTACTCATTCTGCTGTAAAATGTAAAAACAAGAAAGGGCATACAAGCTGGATCCCCCAGGACACATTCAGCTTTTTTAATATAGTAGTGCCACCACACATTTCGCTTCGGATGTTGTATTATATTTATATGTCACTCAAATATTTACCATTTTCCTGAATTCTACTGTGTGTTCTGAAAGCTTGTTATAAGCCAAGTATCTTTGGTTATGTGTTTTGGCTGTATAACAGCTGTGCCTGAACTGCATCAATATGCTAACTTTTCCTTCAGAAGCTTCTCATGTGACAAAAGCCACTCTTTCAGATGACTTCCTCCCGTATAGTTGCCAGTCTGTCCACTGCTGCAAATCACTCGGTGGCATGGGATTATAATTGGGATCTGGAAAACATAAACAAAGGCACAAAAGAAAACAAGGCATCAGAATTCTTTCATGCTCCCCCTTTAGAAATACTTTCCCCATGGTCAACTATCATCAACCTCTTATTAGCATAAATCTTATCCAGTAATATCTGCTTGGATGTACAGTATATGCTTGAGGAACTTTCAATAGAACAAACACAGAGAAGTACATATAGGTGAAATACACTGGCTGAAATCATGTTCATATTCAGTTTTGCAGTGTAAGGCTCATGATGTCATCAGCTGGGGCAATTTTTTTTGGGGGGGGAGGATTAAACATTTCCTCCTCCTGTACCACAGTACTCATGGCCCCAAGCAATCCCTTTCAACAGAAAGGAACCGGCAGGAACTACAGCACTGGGAGAAGGAACTCTTTAGTTACTGAAAATCACACCCCCCCAAGTAAAATCATCTCAATGTTGATGCTTTTTGGTAATTAAAGATTTCCCTTGCTATCCTGAGGCCCCTGAATTCCTGACATTGCAAGGGATTACTCAGGAGCATGGGGGGATTGGGGATAGGAAATAATTAATTTAAAAAATCAGAACTTATACAAACAGGATTTCAGCCACTATACAGTGGTGCCTCGCTTAACGAGCGCACCCTTTAACGACAAATCCACATAGTGACGCGTTTTTTGCGATCGCTAATGCGACTGCATTGCAATGTTTAGATAGGCCAAAAATTGCATTGCGACGATCGGTAAGTGTTTCGCTTACCGATCTTCGCATTGCGATGTTCTAAAAACAGCTGATCGGCGGTTCCAAAATGGCCGCTGGAAGAATAAAATGGCTGCCTGCTCCATTTTTGCGCCCTGCCCTCGCTTACTGAGGCGGCAAAAAACCCTATGGGGTTTTCAGTTCCGTTTAGCGATGTTTCCAGATAGCAATGTTAATCCTGGAACGGATAAACATCGCTATGTGGGGCACCACTGTATATGTCTACACACACAAGGGTCCAATGCAAGAATGTATTCCATGTTATGAGAGCCCTGTCATGTTTTGAGTTTCTGATATTTGTTTCAGTGGAGAAGCAAGGTATGTAAATATGTCACTTTGTGTCCAAGGACTGCCATGTGCTCCAGCCTCACAGGGATAGGCTGTTCCCCACACAGCTCTGACACAGAGGCTAAATGTCTGCAATACAGAAGTTAAATTCTGTAAAGTCTTTCATTTTGAGAAAACGTCTTTACTAGGTAAATGTTGCAAAGACTTTGTTTAAAAAACACAGAGCCAGTGTGTTGGACTGGGACCCAGGAGACCTGTTGGGTCATTGGAAACACATGAGCCCCGCCCCCAAAGGTGGCACTGGTAAAACCATCCCTTAAATAGCCACCCTGTTTCTCCAAAAATAAGACTTAACCTGAAAATAAACCCTAGTACATTTTTTCAGGATGCTCGTAATATAAGCCCTACCCCCAAAATAAGCGCCAGTTAAGTGAAACCCCACCCTCCACCACTCTGCAGCAACCAGAAGAAGATGACATGACTGTATTTGAATAAATGTAGATTGTTATACATGAAAAAAATAAATCATCCCCTGAAAATAAGCCTGGATGGGTTTTTGGAGCAAAAATTAATATAAGACCCTGTCATATTTTCGGGGAAACACGGTAACATACCTTGGGAACCCTACTAGGCTCCCAATAAGTCAGAACTAACTTGACTACACATAACACACAGCAACATTTGTGTTCAAAGACCTATCCAAATATGAGGAATCTTCTCTGTTACTGTCTATTATTATCTTTGTCTTTGCTGGTCATTCACTAATACCAGCTACACACATTTGATTCTCCCTTTTATCTCTCCACACATTTCTGTTCAGTCTGATGACAGATCTTCCTCTTCCACTTCTTACTGGCTAGACTAGAAGTCCTGAAATCAAATCTTGCCAGCCGTCTGTTGGATGCCTGGACATGCTGAGATTCTGCATCTGGTTACACATTTGGTTGCACATGTGACAAAACACTTAGCAAAATTTGAAGGCTGCTTGTGAAATTGCCTTCAAACACACACTGTTTTGCAATAGGGTTCAGCCATAAGTGTTACCCAAGACTTTGTCTTTCACTTGCCTATTTTCCTGTAATCCATCAATGATCCTATAATATAAAATACAATCCATTATGTTTCTATGATATTTCTTCCTGGGACATTGCACTTTACTGAAGATGGCATAAAATAAGCTCCTTATTTCCTATTTCTAGCCATGACTCTTTCCTTGTCTGACAGCTTTTATCTCTAAACCATTCTCCTTCCTTTTCCACAACTCAAGACCATTGCCAAGTTCTAGATGCCTTCTGCTGCTGCAAACACCATTTCCAAGGCCTGATTTATCTCTTGTCCTGATTTCCATAATCCTGTCCTCTCTTAAGACCCATCATGCCTCTAGGTAGGGATGAGGAATAAATTATCCATGGGTAATACAAATATTCTCCCCCCCCTCAGCCCCCTGGGAAAATATGCCACAGTTTAGAGGAAGAAACCTTGCAAGGGGAGGGGAATGTTTCCAAAAAGTGACACTTCTGACCATGTTTTTTGCTGTCAGTAATCAATTTGGAGATTATGCTTGTGATGTCTCACCAACAACCTTAGTGTGTCTATCAGGCTTCAGTTGGCAAGTGAAAATAAATAAAATGTGGTGGCAAACCAGGTGAAGCCGTTAAAAACAGTTTCCTACTTGTTTTAAAAAACTTTTGTGCTCCTCATAATCCAGTGGTGCTATTTATTGCTCAATTTTAGTGGAGTACGAGTGTATATGTGTGTGGGTCTGTGGCAGACTTCAGAGGTAGACAATTCATTCTTTGATCTACTTGAGTTGACTACCCTTCCACTGAACAACGAAGGACTGAAGTTGTTGCTGGCTGTAGGTAGGGAGAGCTGCAGAGAAACAGAATGAACGGCAGTGGATTCTATGGAGGAAGACCTTGAGGAGGCCCACATATGAGTCCCTCTTCCCTCATTCCTCTGGCATTTGAAAAGCTTGGGAGAATGAAGTTATCAATGGCTGTCTGTCATGCTGGCTATACATTAACTATAGTTTCAGAGACAATGCCGTTATAGACCAGTTTCTGGGGATCCTGAGTAGAAAGGTGCCACTGTGTCTTCATACCTGCATATGACCTTCTCACAGGCATCTGGTGCCACTGTGTCTTCATACCTCCATATGACCTTCTCACAGGCATCTGGCTGGACACAATGTGAATAGAGCATTGGACTAGGCAGGTCTTTGGCCTAATGTCCAATATGACCCTTATGTTCTTCACTAAGGCAATTAAGGCAACGAAGATGTTACTTTCTAGAGTTAATTGACAGGTTATAAATTAGTAAATCACTGGGTCTAGATGGAGACATTCAAGAATTGTTCAATAACTCAATTCTAGCATGCCACCAGATGTGGAATGTTCAAGCTGACAGTCAAAAGGATTCAATATGATGAAGACCCAACCAGGCTTGCAAAATTCCTACTAGTATCTCTCTAAATTGAGTACATGGAAATCAGAATAGAAAATGGCAATGTAAAGTAACTGCATATACATCTAAAATGGTGGGATCTAAGTGGAGTGTCTCCTGGACTGCAAGGAGAACAAACTTATCAATTCTAAAGGAAATCAACCCTGAGGGCTCACTGGAAGGACAGATCCTGAAGCTGAGGCTCCGATACTTTGGCCATCTCATGAGAAGAGAAGACTCCTTGGAAAAGACCTTGATGTTGGGAAAGTGTAAAGGCAAGAGGAGAAGACAGAGGATGAGATGGTTGGACAGTGTCATCGAAGCTACCAGAATGAATTTGACACAACTCCGGGAGGCAGTGGAAGACAGGAGGGCCCGGTGTGCTCTGGTCCATGGGGTCACGAAGAGTCGGAGATGACTAAACAACGATGAAGTGGAGAGGAAAGCCTACGGTTACAATAAATAGCTCCATTAAGTCATAAATTTAGAAAATTTTAGGAAGGGGCTATGAAAAGGCAAAAAGGCATTATTACAATACCTATATTTAAATCTACACTTAGAATATTGTGGACATTTTTGGTTGACTCATTTCCAAAACATATACCATTAGATAAAATGCAGAAACATCAATGAGCATTATGACAGGTCTGGACCATGACTCCTATGGGGAAAAAGCTGGAGTGCTCTCAGCTTCATGGCTTAGAAATAGAAGATTAATACGCTAGAAAGGATGGCAAACTTCTATAACATTATGCATACTGTGGGGAAAGTGAACAGAAGGTTCCATATCTGCCTGCTTCATAGAACTGGAAATGAGTTATGCAATGAAAGTTACTGTCACAATGTGTGATTATGGCAGAATTTGGAAATAACTTATCAATTTTATCATTATGAGGGCATGACACTAATAACTAGCAAAGATATATATATCACATGATTCAAGCGTTGGTTCATGCTATCCCCCATGATATAAGCCAAGGTGCTTCTCAAGCCTCTGTAAGTTTCCGTATAAAAAAGCACCAACCACATTTATTCCAAACAGCTTAAAACAGATTCATGATAATTTGGCCATCTCTTTTTCTCTATATGAATTTATGCAGCCTCAGAACACATTTATAATTTGAATGGTTGCTCAAACCATCCACCAGTTTTACAGAATTCATACTTAAAAGGTTAATTTCTGGTCTATGTAATTCACTGCCACAATTTGCTATTATAGCCACTACTGCAGATAGCTTGAAAAACTAGACAAATTCATGAACAATAAGTCTATCAATGGATGTCAGTCATGATAAAGGATGTGAAGAATTCTCACAAAACTACAATTCTCAGCAAAGCTTTCTAGACATGTCAAGAGACCCTGCAGAGAACTATCTGATTTCCACTCTATTTCTTTCTTCCTGCAAGAGAAAATAACCTTTTCTCTTGAGATTTTCACAATTTGCACAAAATGTCTCTGTGCAAAATCAATATCTTTCCTCTTTCTAAGCACACACAGCAAGTATAAAAGGACTGACTGATTAATTA